TGGGATGATGTGTGTGTCCTGTGGGAGCCCGTTCTCGGGTTCCTTGTGGCTTTACCCAGCAGGTCCGCATAGAGGATGATTAGGACCATGAGCCTGAGTGCAGGTGTCTGAGATGGTCTGCACTTGGCTGTGCTGGGGAATGGTCTGTATGTCAAGTTGCTCTGATTGGTCAATAAATAAAACACTGATTGGCCCGTGGCTAGGCAGGAAGTATAGGCGGGACTAACAGAGAGGAGAAATAAAAGAACAGGAAGGCAGAAGGAGTCACTGCCAGCCACCGCCAGGACAAGCAGCATGAAAAGATGCCGGTAAGCCACGAGCCATGTGGCAGGGTATAGATTTGTGGAAATGGATTAATTTAAGCTATAAGAACAGTTAGCAAGAAGCCTGCCATGGCCATACAGTTTGTAAGCAATACAAGTCTCTGTGTTTACTTGGTTGGGTCTGAGCGGCTATGGGACTGGCGGGTGACAAAGATTTGTCCTGACTGTGGGCAAGGCAGGAAAACTCTAGCTACACCAAATATTAAAAAAACAAAACAAAACAAAACAGTGTCCACAGAGGTCAAAGGAAGGTGTACAATACCCTGAAAATGGAGTTACAGGCAGTTGTGAGCTACCATGTGGGTGCTGGGAATCAAACCTGGGTCCTTTTCAAGAAGGAAAAATGCTCTTAATCACTGAGCCATCTCTCTACCCCCTAAGCTGTTTTTTAAGACACTTGAATTTAACTGGTCTTTGACAGAGGAAAAGCATGGAGTCAAAAATCAATGGTGGTCTCATGTTTCTATTCTCTGCTCCAACTTCTGGGAATTTGCAAGGGGGCTTGAAAATTTGTCATGTAAACACCATTTGAAAAGAAATAATTTGTTCATTTGTACAACAGAAATGATGTTTGCCTTATGCACTGCACAAGGGGCTGCAAGTGTCCAAGGATATCAGGCAAGTATAAAACCTGGGAAATACTGTCCACATGGAATCTCTCCTTGTAATTGCACCTATGTGAGAATGTTCTTAAAGGGAAATTGGGTCTGCAAACTGCTGAATGCTGATTGCTCTCAGGCAGCACAAGTTCAGACAACGAATTCTCAGTGTCCTGGGGAAAAGGAAGATAACATCTTCCTGGATCTACATCATCCCAACTATACCAAGACTATGCATTGTCCACCAATGAGGTAACTATTTTCCTTAGTCTAATCTTGCTTGTCAATTTGACTACATCTGGAATCAACCCAAACTCAAGCATCAGGACTCACATGTGAGGGATTTTCTTGATTAGATCATTTGTGCTCAGAAGACCCACCATAAACCTGGGCCACACCTCCTGGTGTCACTCTGCATACAAGCATTGGGAGAAGGAAGCTTTTGTTTTTTGCCTGCTTCCCCTCACTCTCACTGGCAAGTTCATCCATCTACCACTGACAGATAGCTGCTTTTAGAGCCTACTTCCAATGTAGACTGAAGACAAGCTGGAGTGTCCAGTCTCACGGACTGAACAAATACTGAATTTTTGGCCTTTCCATCAGGAGGCAGCCATTGCTGACTATCTGACCACAGGCTTTGAACTATCCTAATAAACTCTCTCTCTCTCTCTCTCTCTCTCTCTCTCTCTCTCTCTCTCTCTCTCTCCATATCTATACATATGTGTGTATACCATTATTTTTCATTCTATCAGTCCTTTTCCTGTAGAGAACCCTAATACAGTCCTAATAATGTACCTGAAACCAATCCTGATATAGAAACTTAAGTGAAATTTATCATTACGCTTTTCTTATTTTCTCTGTCTTTATTAAGATAGAGTCTAGGTGGGGAGATGCCTCAGTAGATAAAGTGTTTGCTAAGAAATCAAAAGGGCCTGAGTTAGATCCCTAAAACCCATTTTAAAAGATGAGGCATGGCTATGTGTACCTGTAGCTAGAGTTTTCCTGGTCCTGCCTGGCCCACGGTCAGGACAAATCTCTCTTACCCGCTGTCCCGCAGCTACTTAGACCCAACCAAGTAAACACACAGAGACTTATTTTGCTTACAAACTGTATGGCTGCAGCAGGCTTCTTGTTATCTAGTTCTTATATCTTAAATCAACTCATTTCTATTAATCTATACCTTGCCACGTGGCTCGTGGCTTACCGGTATCTTACATCATGCTTCTCCTCATGGCGGCTGGCAGCGTCTCTCTGCTTCAGTCTTCCTGTTCCCAGAATTCTCTTCTCTCCTTGTCCCGCCTATACTTCCTGCTTGGCTACTGGCCAATCAGTGTTTTATTTATTAACCAATCAGAGCAACACATTTAACATACAGAACATCCCACAGCATGTATCTGTAACCCCAGTGTGGAGAGCACAAAGAGGTAGATCCCAGGGGCTCACTGGTCAGCTAGACCAGTCAGTGAGTGCGGTTCAGTGAGAGACCTTGCCTCAAAAAAAAAAGTAAACAGTGATAAAGGGGGTATTCCAGAATCCCTGAATCAGTCTCTGGTGCACACTCACACACACACACACACACACACACACACACACACACACACACTTCTACCTTAAATGCACCTTTTATTGCTTCTTCCTTTAGAAATTAATTACAATAATGTTATATCAGAAAATCTAGTATTAAATGATTGCCTTAGGGTTTCTATTGCTGTGGCAAAACACCATGACCAAAAGCAAGTTGGGGAGGAAAGAGTTTATTTGGCTTACACTTCTACATTACTGTTAATCTGTGAATCAGGACAGGAACTCAAACAGGGCAGGATCCTGGAGGCAGGAGCAGATGTAGAGGCCACAGAGGGGTACTGCTTACTGACTGGCTCCCCATGGCTTGCTTAGCCTGCTTTCTTATAGAACCCAGGATCACCAGCCCAGGTATGGTACAGCCCACCATGGGCTGGGCCCTCCCCTATTGATCAGTAATTGAGAAAATGACTTACAACTGGATCTCAGAGAGGCATTTCCTCAACTGAGATACCTTTCTCTCTGATGACTGCAGATCATGTCAAGTCAATACAAAACCAGCCAGTACAGTGATAAGCTATCTGTATCTTCTAATACTTTTTAGTGTGAATTTTTCAAACACATTTGAACTACCTTTTCCTATTCCCAGATCACCTAGCAAAGTGCTGCATAAAAAGCAAACCTATGATAAATTCTTTCTGAGGCCTGGTTTTTTGATTAGGAGACATCAATCTCATATTAGCTAAAAATAATATACTAAACATAAAAATAATATACGTTTGCATATAAACTACTCTTGATAGTAAGTCAATCAGCCACTTAATGGGAAAGTTTTTTCTAATTCAAAGTGAAATTCAGAATTAGAACTGATAAACCAGAGGTACTTTATCTTTATATAATTATAAGTAATTATGACATAATAAAATTGACTTTCAGTCTATAATACATGAGAGCCCAACTGTAAAGAACATGATAGTCCTTCTCTTAGCATATTTATTAAATATGCATATTGTTTACTGTTCTGTGCCAGTATCTTCTTTTTTCTTTTGGTTTTTCGAGACAGGGTTTCTCTGTGTAGCTTTGTGCCTTGCCTGGATCTTGCTCTGTAGACCAGGCTGGCCTCGAATTCACATAGATCTGCCTGCCTCTGCCTCCTGAGTGCTGGGATTGAAGGCGTGAGCCACCACCGCCTGGTTGCCAGTATCTTTTCTTAATGAGCTAAAACCAAACATCTTTTTGTTCACTTCCACCAAGTCTGGATCCACAAATCAAATTTTACTGTTTATAGCCAAGGCTTCATAAAGATCTTTTTGACCAATCTCAATTCTGTAGGTAGCATTCCCCCCCCCCCCAGTATACAAAGAGAAAGATCAGTACAGACATCTCCCCTCTTTTGTGTTAGGAGCATTCTCATGTTTAACTGCTAACAGTCTCAATTAACTAAGCAGTAAACTTCTAAGTATGCATTCTTGCATTTATTAGGATATCTCTTTGAGTGGTTGCAAGAACCTATTATTGAATAGGCCCAATTCTCCATTGATTTACAAAAGTTGTAAAGAATATTCCATCTCACATAATCCTTTGCTAGGAGGACTCCAGACCCAGGCACTAAAAATCTTTATGGTCTCCCTAAGAGGCATTGGGACACAGGTGGTATTCTCATTAACACAGCTGATAAAATAGAGAGCCTTCCCCAGGGTCTTTGGGCTAGCCAGTTATTGAAGGAGTGGAATCTAGGTCTCCCTTTGCCGAGTACACAACCACAAAAAGTGTAGAACTCCCAGGAATATTGCCTGAATCACATGTGCAGGAAATAGAAGGAAATGATGCCCAGGATGCTCATTGCTGAATCCCCATAGCAACCTTCCACTGCCCCCCTCCCACCTCACATAAAGTACACCGAAGGGTATCAAACAACATAAAATCTGAATGGTGCCCTTAATTAGGTGGGACCATCATGCTGACTCTCTTACCTCCCACTGTCCAAGCTAGCAGCCCCCAGTTCCTCTCTGGTGCCTAAGCCTGAAAGCAGGACATCATTACAGAAACAATCGTTGCCTTTCAAGGGACCATCAAGCTTTGATGATGATGGAGTTTGATAGCCATAATGTCAAACTTTATATGACCATAATCCAAGTTTACAATAATACATTAAGCTATAATGCTACTATTTATATCGCCATAAACCCCGTTTTATGGCGATATAAATAGTCATGCTAATGGCATTAACAGCAGCACACAGTGGAATCCCAGCTGTTGAGTGGCACTTTTATGCTATTAGCATTGCTATTTATGCTACCATAAGCTGAGGTAGTCAAACTTGTTACATATGAATAGACAAGGAAGATGGATATCCACATCTTAAGCCTGAATTGAGGCTTCTATATTGGACACACCCTCTTTACAATAAAGATCTATGTAGCTCTCTATCAGGCCCCGTTTGTGTTGTGTGACGTTTTTGAAGAACAAGTCTGTTTTCTGGCATCTTCTGAGCAGCCTGGAAACACTATTTCAATGCGATAAGAAAGTGCAAGGCCCAGCTGCTGGGCAAACTTACTGTCTCCTTGGCAGCGCAGAGGACCCACGCTCAGCTTGGCTTCTGAGCCTTGCCGGTCAGTATCTCCAACCACCACCTGGCTCACAGGCAGGTGATCTTTGTAGGATAAGAAGCCAGCATCCTTCCTCCTGAATCACAGGGAGACAGAAAAACATGGGGAGGTTGTGTTAGAATTATAGCTTCTGTTGTCTGACCACTGATCACATTTTTAATAGTTGTTCAGAAATGCACTGAGTGATGCACTCAGATGGAGTTTGCTCTCCTCCCCCAGTAAAGGCTCAGAGTGTGGCTCAGAGGCAAGGCTGGCATGGTCATCTGATGGAAACTAGAACTGACATTCTGATTTCCAGAACTTATAACTAATAAGCCATTGGCTCTCCTAAGTGGAAAACGGACCAAACCACACACCTCACAGGTGCTCCCGTGCAGAGTTAATGGAAAGTTCAACAAAGTCACCGGAACAACACACCAAACAAACCCCCCAAAGACTGAAAAGTCTTTGCCTCTTTAATTGGTTTGAAACAATTCCTTCAGAGACTTTCTTCCCTGCTGTGCAGCAGCTAAATGAGGGATATCTTTGGTTTTCTGGTCTTCCCTTGTTTACTTGAAGGACTGAAATAGTTCACAGATATCTCCAGCATAGAGCAGGTGCTCCGTAAGTATTTAGCTCTATGGATAATGAGGAGCGGAGCTGAGACTTGGGCCCTGTTTGGATTTCTGCCTAGGTTCATCTGTTTACCCTGTACTTATCCACACCTTCCAACTTGATCCCATACCTACTTTGAATTTCATAATTTTTTTTATCAATTATTTGAGAATTTCATGTTTTCATACAATGTATTTTATCATATTCATTCCTCTCTTCTCCCCATAACTCCTCCTAGATCGACCCTAACCTTTAAAGTCCCTCCCGATCCTCCCAATTCATGTCCTTTTTTTTTTTTTTTTTTTTTATAACCCACTGGATTCAGTCAGTGCTGCCCATATGTTCTTCGGTGTGGGACCATCTACTAGAGTGAGGTTAACTTACCAGGGTCTACATACTTATTAAATGCTGGCTCTCTCCCAGCAGTCATGAACTGGCAATGGCTTCTCAAATAGAGGTGAGGACTCATGAGCCCCACCTGATCAATCTGACAGTGTTGACTGGCTCTATGTTGTGCAAGTCTTGGAAAGGTAACGACAGCTGCTCTTAGTGTCCTGTCACATCCAGAAGACACTGTTACACCCGAGTCCTTCTCTGTTCTTACAATTTTTCCACCCTATCTTTCATGACATTCCCTGAGCTCTGGGGAGGGGGAGATATGATACAGATGTCCTATTTATGGCTTATTACTCCCTAGTCACATATTTTGGCCAGCTGTGAGTTTCTGTATTAATTGCCATGCATTGACAAAAGAAATTTCTCTGATGAAATCTGAGAGATATGCTAATCTATGCATATAGAGATATGGATTTAGAGGGCATATTATATGATACTATATTAATTAAGCAAAATAATAGTAGTATGTTCAACCCTGGGCTTCATACACTCCAAGCCAGGGGTTCTTGACCAAATTACAGTACTAGACATGTATTTCCTCTTGTGGAGTGGGTCTTAGTTAAGGAAGGGGGCAGGGCCAACTGCAAAGAGCTGCTTTGAATCAAAGCCCAGAAGTTCTCAGGGATGGGCTCAGGAGGAGCTACAGACCACTGTCTTTTGGGGTTTGTGCAAGACAGATTCTGTTTTGTGGAAAACTCTCTGCTCTATCCTATTTTGCTGCTGCTTTGCTGTAGTTTGGTGTTCCCTTTCTATGGGCCTGGAAGGGTGGGAGGCAAAATCAGTGGGAGGTCATTCTGAACCAAATAATTTCTTGTGCCAATCAGTCTGAATGGAAATAACAACTCTGAATGCTACTTTTGAACAATGAGAGAATGAGAGAGGTGGTTCAATAATGAAGCTAAGGATTTTGTATTCACATCCCTAAGCACATAGAACTAAGGTTTGGGGCAAACAACTGGAACTCCACATTGAAAATTCTGTGCTATTCAGGGCCTGTACTTGCCCTTGAGATTGTCTACAACATCAGTGAACTTATTCTTCCATTTGTATCAGGAGTAGAAACCCAGGAAGAAGATGCAAAACTTGGTCAGTGGGACTCAAAACTCTATTTTGCCTTGTTTTAGTAATTTCGGCATTCTATGGTTTTTCAAAGTATTGTTTATTAAGTTAGAACAAACCAATATGTAGCTGGAGAGTTTCTCTCCAGGTCTCACCAAGCCCTCCACAGTCCCACAGCCCACTTATAAAATAATCACTCAGATGCTTATATTACGTTAAACTATATGGCCATGGCAGGCTTCTTGCTATCTAGTTCTTTTATCTTAAATTAATCCATTTCTATTAATCTATAAGTTGCCACATGGCTTGTGGCTTACCAGTATCTTAATATCTGCTTCTCATGGAGGCAGCTGGCAGCGTCTCCTCCCTCAGCCTTCCATTTCCCAGCCTTCCCCTCTCTCTTTTTCCTGCCTATATTTCCTGCCTGGCTATTGGCCAATCAGCATTTTATTTATTAACCAATCAGAGCAACATATTCAGAGCATACAGAACATCCCACAGCACCAAACCTTGGGACTTTTGTTGATGCTATAGTTCCTGGTAATCAGGCTTCAAACATTCAATAGGAAACTTGATATTTACTCTTAAAGGAACAATAAATGAAGGCAGTCTAACTGCACACTTAAATTTGACAGCCTGTTAGAAATGATTCCCCTGGACATGGTGCTAATATCCTTTATGAGTTGATGCCCCTTAGGATGTGTCTCTAAACCACTGCTCCAAAAACTAAATCCTAAAATCCAAATTCCTCTTGTAATCTGCTTTTGTCTGACTCAGAAGTGACTTTGTGATTGGCTTTGCAGTGTCTGGCCAGCATCATGCAGTAGCTTCAGCACACCAGGTTCCTGAGCCGAATGGGCTGCCCTGAGTGAACCCTCAGAGCTTAACTCTTTGAGCTTCTGGAAGATGGCATGGGTGATTTTATAAAAATAAGATGTGGACTGTGGAGATGGATCAGTGTGTAAAGTACTTATGCACATGTACACACAATTCAAAATATTCAAATATCCAAAATCTTTTGGGTCATATTCTGAATGAAATGTTATGCTACATTAGGGAGAATGTAATATCACCCAACAATGGGAATGAGACTTCTCCTGTTGTCAATTAAGCAGACTCTAGGGTTTGGATATTGCACAAAAAGCTGCCCTGAACATTCTTTTAATGGAATTACCTACTGGCATTGATGGATGTTTATACAAAACAAGAAATGCTGGGTTATAAAGTCTGCTTAACTTTTGTGAATAATTTCAGGCTGTATTCTCTAGAGTGCATATCAATTTACACTTCTATCTAAAGCATATAAGAATTCAGGTTGCTTAGGATCCTTGCCTGTGTCTATATAATAAAACACAGTATCCTATTTAAAAACACCAGATAAGAATATTTTAAAAACAAAAGTCTAGAAACATTACAATAACTATGTAATTTAATTGCACAGGATAAACTTCGAAGCAGTTCTTAAATCTTTCTAAAAAGATTTAAATAAATTAATAGATTAAATTTAAAATAATTATTAAATAAGTTAAATAAATTAAATAAATAGAATGTAATAAATCTTTGAACATAGTTTACAGAAGTTTGGCCATTGCGATACTATAATGAGCCATCATTCAGTTATTTTATTAGAAACTGATTAACGTTAAGAATGATAGGAATTTACAAGCCAAATTTCATCAATACAAATAATTTTTGCATCACTGTCAATGAAACTGAAAAATTTAAATAATTTTTACTAGGGTTTCTTAGTAATGTATGCTATCACCACTACACTATTGACAAGCATGAGGGATAGAGAATTTATGTTGGTCACAGTCACCAGCTCATAAAGGATAGTTTAAAGTCTAGACTATTTGTATCTCATTCTGGGAGCGTCTACTTAAAAATAGGGGGAAAAAAGTCAAAACAATAAAAACAATCAAATAAACAAATTAGAAGACTTTGTCATGCAATCCTCATTTATAGATAAAAGCATACCTCTCAAGATGCACTCAACTAATCGTACATATTGAAGCTACAAACAATATCCCAAATTCAAGAATTTGCAGTATTTTTACCTACAATTGTGCCTGTGCCATAATATACCACAAGTGAGCACTAGGTCGGCTTCATGCCCAGAGGAACCTATGTAGACAGATCTATTGTTGCTTTCTTAGAGTATAGCTTGCTGTCAGAAAAATGGCATTCTTTGTTAAATCAAAAACAAAAACAAAAAACAACAACAAAAAACCCCCAAAACAAAACAAAACAAAACAAACAAACAAACAAAAAACACTAAAAATTCATCACCCTTGATAAGGTCAAAAAGTTACTGGCTGAACCTGTTATGGTCAAATATCTGAGCAGATCTCCATAGAATTTAAAGTTGCAAAGAGAAACATATGAAATGCACAATTAAAAAAATAATAGATATCACATTGCCTATGGAAACATCCACAGACAGTAGTACGTGGCCAGATGAGCAGTTTCTGATGTTATTTTACAAGCACCTGCCCTGAGAGCTGGGAGATGACCTTCAAAAGCAGTGGTTCTCAACCTGTGGGTCATGACCCCTTTGGAGGTTGAATGACCCTTTCATAGGGATCACCAAAGACCATTGGAAAACACAGATATTTACATTATGATTCATAACAGTAGCAAAATTACAGTTATGAAGTAGCAAAGAAAATAATTTTATGATTGGAGGGGGAGGTCACCACAACATGAAGAACTATATTCAAGGATCACAGTATTAGGAAGGTTGAGAACCACTGCTCAAAAGAATCTACCTGATGTTTCTTCTTAAGACCTTGCATGAAGTTTTTTATTTTTGTAAGTTTTTGTATGCAAACATGATTTTATTGGAATCAATGACCTTTAGAGATTGAGGTCAATCTAATTTAGGGAGATATTAAGTACTATTTATCATGTCAGCATAATATACTAATTACATGTAATAGTGGGCTTGTACAGTAGAAGGATTCTGTCATCCATCTCAGAGGGGCCCTGACTCAGACTCTTACATGGTCTATCAGAATTGTGAATTTC